TTTACACACATGATGATATAACCCAGAAACCAACCCAGCTATGGAAGTATTCACAGTGAAGAAGCTCACAACATTGTAAACAGGGAACCAGAGACATTAATTGACAGATGAAGACAACTACAAACCAAAAGGAGGGAAAAACCTGTTGTTACAGAACTTCTAGATGGTAGGGAAGTCCAGACAACTACAAGATAGAACAGACTGTTCTAAATTTGGGAAGAAAACTATAAATCACAGGATAACCTCAAAGAAAAATGATAAACCTTCACATCAAAATAAAAAGAGGACCAGCATAAATATTCAGCAAATACTAAATAGCAATGAAGGAAGTGATAACATGATTCATAAACAAAATGAGCTCAGGATAGAAAATTATATGGAACAAAGAAATAGACACAATGAAAAAGCATATGACAAAAATGACAGCAACAAATTCATATTTGCTAATAATTACATATCTTGGAAGGGACTTATCTCTAAGATTGATGGAAAACTCTAACACCTCAACACCAATCCAATTGAAAAATGGGCAGAAGACATGAATAGACACTTCACCAAGGAGGATATTCAGGTGGTCAGCTAATACATGAAAAGATGCTCACAATCATTGGCCATCAGAGAGATGTAAATCAAACAACAACCGTCTTACCCCAACACTGATGGCATGGTTCAGTGAAACAGAAAATAACAAATGCTGGTGGGGATGTGGAGACACTGGGACTCTCAAACACTGCTTTTGTGATGGTGAAGTGACACAACCACTGTGGAAAGCAATATGGCGATTCCTTGGAAAGTTGGAATTGGAGATACCATTTGACCCAGGATTCCCATACTAGGTATATATCCTAGAGAGGTGAAAGCCAGGATAGGAACAGACACACACATGCTCATGTTCATCACAGCACTATTTACAATAGCAAAAAGATGGAAACAACCTATATTCCCATCAGTGGAAGAGTGGATGACCAAACTATAGTACATACACATACTGGAATGCTATGCAGCACTAAAGAGTAATGTAGAGTCTGCAAAACACCACATAATATAGATGAAATTGGAGGACATTATGCTGAGTGAAATAAATCAATCACAGAAGGACAAATATAGTATTAGTACATTGTTGTGGAGGGTCAAGGAAAGGTTTACATATGCAGGGAAACTTTCTTTGTTGGTTGTCAGGGGTGGGAGGGGAGGGAGGGAACACTGCAAAAAATAAAAATAAAAAAAATAAATAAATTCATTGGCCCATGTTACTTTTTGTGTATATCACTGTACATAAATTATATTTCAATAAAATGCATTTAAAAAAAAAAGAAGAAAGAAAATAAAAATGCCAGCGAGGATGTAGAGAGTTTGGGACTCTCATACCCTGCTGGTGGATACAACCACTGTGGAAAGCAGTATGGTGATTCCTTAAAAAGTTGAAATTAGAAGTACCATTTGACCCAGCAATTCCATTACTAGGTATATATCCTAAAGAAGTGAGAGCCGTAACGAGAACAGACATATGCACACCCATGTTCATTGCAGCACTATTTACAAGAGCAAAATGATAGAAACAACCTAGGTCCCCACGAACAGAAGAATGGATAACCAAACTATGGTACATACATACAATGGAATACTATGCAACACTAAAAAATATGTAGAATCTTCAAAATAGTGCATAATATGGATGAACTTGGAGGACATTATGCTGAGTGAAATAAGTCAATCACAGAAGGATAAATACTGCATTAGTCCATTACTGTCAAAAGTCAAGGAAAGGTTTATATATGGAAGGAAATTTTCTTTGTTGGTTACTGGGGGTGGAAGGGAAGGGGAAGGAACATTGCTAGATAGGTAGAGACAAATACTGATTTGGGTGAAGAGAAGGGCAATGTACAAAATGTGAGTGATCAACGTGGTGGCATCAAGAAAAGGAAGACATAGAGAGGTGCGTGGGAGGTACAGACAACAAAAATGAACCCTTTTGCACATACAGTACTGTGTTGTCAATGATGGCAGGCACTGTTATACGGGAGGATGGATGGGTACACAGGCTAAACGATTACGTCTGGTTATGCAGAGGGGAAATGTGCTCATGCCTATGTATGGGATTGGCAGACATTGTTTCTACAAGTGTATTTGTATGTTCTATAAGAATTTCCATTAATATAGTAGAATTAACAAGGGTCAAGTTTGTGGTCACTTCTTGGCCATAGCGAACTACCAGGAGGGATCGAGTGGTTGGACCTGTGGGCTCAGGACCATGGTCATGGGAGACATCAAGCTCAATTGGTATAATATACTACACAAAAATATTGCTTCACATCCTACTTTGGCGAGTAGGGACTGGGATCTTGGAGTTTTGCAGACAGCCATCTAAATGCAGCGATTGGTCTTTCCTCATCAGGAGGAAAGAAGAATGAAGAAAACCAAAGATTCATGGAAACAATTAGTCCAAGGGACTGGTACACCATGCGATCCACAGCCTATATGACTATGAGACCAGAAGAACTAGTTGTTACCCTGCTATCACTGACAACCACTCGGACAGGAATCTATGTAGGAGATCCTGGATAGAGTGGGAGAACAATGTGGAACAAAACTCAAAATCATGGGGGGAAAAAAAAAAGATCAATTTGCTGGTCTGATAGAGCCTGGAGTAACCCCTGAGACTATGACCCCTAGCTGACCTTCAGATCTGGAATTGAACCTACTCCTGTGGCTTCCAGCCAAAGAAGAGACAGACATATGAGCTGAACATTTACATTAGGTAGATACACTCCTTGGAGAGAACAATCACGGGAGAATAGAAGGGCTGTGTATGAACGAGACAGCTGGGGCGGGACAGCAGGAGTGCATGGGAGGGAAAAACACAGGGAAGAGGTGCCTATGGGGAGGAAGTGAGAGGAGAGCTGTTGCATTATGGGAGATTGTAGTCAATGTCAAGAAACAAAGTTTATGTGAACTGCTGTATGGAAGATGAATATACTCTGTAAAGTTTCACCCAAATCACAATAAAAAGTTAAAAAAAATATATTGTCCATTGAAGAAGAAGTTATAGATTGAATTGTGTTCCCATAAAATACGTATTGGAACCCTAATCCTTATGTATGTGGATGTAATCATTTGGGAAACATGTTTTCTTTGTTATGTTAGTAAGGACGTATCAGTGTAGGGTGTGTATTTAAGGATTCCCTTTTGAGATATAGAAAGAGCTGATTAGGAGAAGAGAAGTGAGCACAAAAGGGGGAAGCTAGATGTCACATGAAGATTGTCAAGGAACCAAGGAACAGAAGTTGAAAGACAAAGATCTTCCCTGAGAGCTGGCAGAGAGCCTTCCCTTTGCGCCAGTGTCCTGAATTTGGGCTTCTATCCTCCTAAAGTGTAAGAAAATAAAATTTGTTCATTACAGCCACACAATTTTGGTCTTTCTGTTACAGCACTAAGAAACTAAGAAAGTGGTGTGTCTGAAGTGCTTACAACAGCGTCTGACCTCCATGAACTCATTGCTGCCCAGACAATTTGCACTCCTAGCAACCCTATAGAAAATGGCAGAACTGCCCCCATAGGGTTTCCAAAGTGATAATCTATACGGAAGCAGGCTGTCACGTCTTTCTTCCAAAGAGGAGCTGGTGGGTTAAAATCACTGATCTTTCAGTTAGCAACAGGAGTGCTTAACTACCGTAACACCAGGGCTCCTTCTGGTGCCCATTAGGACCTATGTAAATGTTGGCATTTATTAATATAAAGACCGCATCTCCTAACAGTGTGTGTAATTTATTTCCTTGTAACTTCCACAATGTAGCGCAATGCTTGAATCCTAATGAATGCAATCCTGTTCAGAACAAGTGATAATGGACTGTGACTGAGATGAATCTTACATACTGAATTTGTAAACGGCATTTATTGAATTGGAGTATGAGCTAAGGAAGGCAGTCGTTATTTCAATAAGCACCGCTCAGGCACCTTGTGTATGTGGATGACACAGAGACAGTAAAAATGAAAAACTACTATTTTTGTATGCTGGGCAGTTTGAGCCCTTTACATAAGGCATTTCATCTTCCCAATAGCCCCTTCGAGATAGGCATTCCTGTCTACATTTTCCTATGTGAAAATTGAAGCTTTGAGGAATTGAGGAAATTGCCAGTCCATTTAACTCCTTCCTCTCCCTCCACACCCCCAAATCAGTACCCTGAACATCACTGCCTACACCTTCAAAAGGAGCTCTGAAGGCGTGGTGCCTAAGGCATTTGACTGGTAACCAGAAGGCTGGCGGTTCAAACCCACCAGCTACTCCTCGAAAGTAACGTTGGACAATCCACTTCCGTAGTAATACTGCATCGGAAACACAACGAGTCGTCGCTATGAGTCGGGCCGACTGGACAGCAGTGGGTTTTTACACCTCAAAGAGTTTACTCTGCGTTGAGTATTGACTCAGTGGGAGCCTGAGGATCTACTTGGCATATTTTATCCTCTCTCTAGAGGGATCAGAGCGCGCCCCCTCTGCCCCCAACAATACTCCACTTCCTAACATTTTGGGGAGTAGACTGCAGGAAAGGAAGGAGACGCGAGAGGTTTCGCAGATGCGCCAGGATATTCAGAGAATCTCCTGGAAGATCCTTTGGTTGGTCTCTACAGAAAGATGTTGGGCCCGAGGCTGTTCGCATCTTCCCCAGCTGCCCACAGGGACGCCAGATTTCTTAGCTTTCAAAGCCCTGCGCGAGGGCCACACTGAAGTCCCAAACCTTGGGTCGGGGCCAAACGGTCACTTCCCCGCCCTCCAGGCGCAGTATGCAAATCCAAGCACCAGGAAGTAGCTGGGAACTCCCGGCCGAGCCCAGCGACAGCCAGTTCCTCTCTGCCGCGCCGGGCCGCCCCGCCGCTCGCTCACTGAGGTCTGGCGCCCCGGGCCCGAAGCGCTGCAGCTTTCAGCCCGCCGCCCCAGCGGCTGTGCCCCTCGCCCGACCCTGCGCCCTGGCCTCCAACCCTGCGCTAGCCAGACTCGACCGCCCCGTCGCGCCCCACGCTCGGCACTGAAGTCACCGTGGAGCTCCGCCACCACCGCCCCCCAACTTCCTCCTCCAGCGAGTGAGTAGAGGGCGTGAGCGGGCGGGCCGCAGGGTGGGGGGCGCGCCGCGTCCAGGCTCCACAAGCTTGGCCCTGGAGAAGAAGGGCCCCCCGACGCCTTCAGCCTGGCGGTGATCGGGCTGGGAAGCCTGGCTGCGGGGGCGGGCTGCTCCGCAGGTGTCTCGCAGCGGGCCGCCCAGGGGTTGGGTAAGAGGTGCAGGGCGAGCGGTGGAAGGGGGCACCTTGCTGTCCCCTGAGGCTAGTTCCTGCGTACCGCGGGGCAGCCCCTACGCGAGGAGCCGGAGCGCGGCGGGAATTCAATGGCTCAGTTTAGACCTTGCTGTGCCCCGTGGGGTCGTGGGAGGTGAGGGGTGGGGTCTGCTGCGCTGCTGCCCTCCTGGGTGGCCCCTGGCAGGAGCGTGACGTCTAGGAGCTGCCTCGGGGCTGGCGAACACCCTCCCCCAGAGCTGAGTGCCTTGAGTTTAGCTGAGGAGCAGCGGGTTACTCCGGAGAGGAAGCGAGAGTTATTTTAAGAATCCTGGGGTTGCCTTTCCTTCGCTTTGGGGGGAGGGTATAAGTGTCAGTTCCCACTTTCCGGCGTCATCTTGGTGGACTGTTAGAGTCCGCTAATCACCGCGTGGTGGTGTGGAGTGCACTCGCTTTCTTTATATATCCAATATGTGTGTCTGAAGTACACCTAATCCATCCAACTTCTTTTATCATCTTAGAAAACCTGAATTGGAATCTGGGCGTTACAGTTTCCAGCTGTGTGTGAACTTGGGCTGATTGTTGAAATACTTGTTTGTTGGTTTCTTCACCTGTCAGGCACTTAAAACCCCTACCACATTAGGCATTCCTGTAAGCGGTGTTGTTATTATTTCTTGCAAGTAATTTTGTCCATGAGAAGGTCCTTGGTTCTTTGCAGTTTGAAGGCTTTAAACGCAAGACCACACGTCCAATTTGCTCGTCCTCTTTGCTGTCTTTGCTCTCTGAAGACTCAATCTTACTAGTAAATCTACTTAATAAATACATGAGGGACTTGATGTCCCAGCACAGGCACTGGGAGCCTGACTAGACTTAAGAACTAGCCACTAAAGATGTTTGACTCACTGCCTGTGGTCTGCCTCCAGCCGGCTGTCACGTTAGGAAGGGCAGGTATGTTCTTCTGTAAAGCCTGTGCTTGAAGCAGTGATACCCAGAATGACATTCTAGCAGCTGTCTGGAAAGTCCTTACCAAGGTTAGCTCTGCTGAGACAGGGTGGGATTCAGTTAGTGCTTTGGTTTTCATTTGGAAGTAAGGAGATAGACATCTTAAGGCTTAAAGAATTTAACTTTATCACAAGAGCCTTTGGGTGACCGGTCCCCTTGGATATAGAGGGGGGTGGGGTGTAACCCTCTTTCTGAGTGAAAGGCAGAGGGCAGCTCATGTAAGGGTAGGGAAAACAGGAGCTAGAAAACTTGAGTTTGGGTCTCATCCACCATTTTCTGGAGCTGTGATTTGGGATAAAGCTAATTCAGCCAACATTTGCTGCATAGCAGTAACCAAAATTGCATCACAATTTGTTGCATGTTTTTAATAAGCATTCACCGTGAGAATGTAAACGCCTTAAGAGTGTAGCTTTGTCCATTGTGTTCAAAACACTACCTCTGATGCCTGGACACAGTAGGTGCTTAAAAGAAGGAATAAGGGCCTGTTCTGAGACAGTTGTTTGCAAGGTTGGGGTCAGATGAAGAGGAGTAAACAGGGCAGACCCCAAAGGCCTTGTAAGCCCACTGGCCCTTTCTGCCCTTTGTTGACTTTGTTGTGTGGCTCCAGCAAATGTGTTGGAATCACTACCCAGGGATGGTCTTTTTCTCTTGAGTCACTGGGAGAGAGATTGAGGTATTAAGAAGATATCTCCTATATATATTTTACTGCAATAAGAAAAAGGGAATGTTTCATTAAAAATAAATTAACTCCAGCAAAAGTAGGTTTCATAATAAAAAAAACCCACTTCATCTTATAGTCATTGGTGTTCCAAAGAAGACTCTGTAATATCCCTCTGCCCAACTCCTGCATTTGGTGATCTCCTTTTTGCAGAAAAGTAGGTTCAATACAGTTTTGTGAAGCAATAACTTTCACAGCTCTTTAGTCCCATCTATATTTGTATTCTGAAATAAATCATCAAGACATCTGGTTCAAGTTAGTATATGAAACTATAACTATATATATAAGAAAAAACTAAACATTACCCATAGATAAGCTCATGCTAATTTTACAAAAGAAGCTTTGGTAGCATAGTGCCAAAGGCACTTGACTTCTAACCAGAAGGCTGGTAGTTCAAATCCACCAGCCACTCCTCGGAAGGAAGGTTGGGCAATCTACTTCTGTAGTGATACCGCCTCAAAAACCCAAGGAGGGGTCTCTATGAGTCAGGTCTGACTCGAGGGCACATAACAACAACAACAACATAAATAAATAAAAATACAGTTTGTATATGCCCATCACATGGAACATTGCTACAGCTCAGTTGCACATATGGTCTCCGTGACCTCCAGGCACTCGGGCATGGATTAGCATTTCATTCACTCCTCACTTACAGACATGTTAGATTCCAAAAACCAGGTCGTTATGTGAAAATCAGTATTGTGAGAAACAAGGATGACCACATCAGATTGCAAAACGGAGGATGACTACACCATTATATAGCTGCCAAATTACATTACCTAACTGCCGGACTACTGAGAGGCATGGTCCGGCCAAGTTGACACATAACCTTAACCATCACAGCCACTGTTACTTGTACCTTTGGGTTGTTACAGACATACATTGTTAATGTGCAAAATAGTCAGTCAGTAGATTTATTGCTATTGTAAATGTGGAATGTTAGATAATGAGATAGTAGGTAAGTGAGGAGTAGTTGTAATATTGAAGGGTTACCAACAATCATTAGTGAAGACACTGATCTGTGACACATTGATGTTAACTTTGATGATGTCTCAACCTCTTTGTGCTCTTCCTGGTGATAGTGATGCTACTACCTTCTGTTTGTCCAGGGCTCTGAAGCCTCCCTAAACTTGGATTTCATGTGAACCTTTCATGGTCCCTGTTTTAGTAACCTAGTGCTGCTGTAACACAAATACCACAAGTGTGTGCCTTTAATGAACAGAAATTTATTTTCTCACAGTTCAGGAGGCTTGAAGTCCAAATTTGGAGCATGGCCCTAGGAGAAGATTTTTTTCTCTTTCCACTGCTGTAGCCCACATTTTCTTTGGTAGCTTTCTTCCCCCTTGTGTATGTGTGTCTCTGAGTCTATTCTGTTCTTTTTATAACTCCAAAGTGATTAGGTTTAGGATCCTTCTTACACTGGTATGACCACAACTGATGGATTGATCACATGACATTAGATTGCATTATGGAAGGCAATCTGCTTGACCCAAGGTTAACTAATTTAATTTCATGAGGGGTCGTATGAGTTGGATCCAACTTGACGGCAGTGAGTTTGGTTTTGTTTTGGCTTACTCCATTATGGGAGCTCTGGTGGAACAGTTAGATTAGCGTTTGACCAAACAACTGGGAACCATTCCCTAGCCAAGTTGGTACATAAAATTAACCATCAAAGTCCTGCCATGGTAGGCAAAAACAGATATAGAAAAAGAAGTTTGGTGGCATATCCAAGATCACAGGCCCAATTAAGTGACAGACTTGTGTATGTTTTCTAGCGCCAACTTTAGAACTTTCCCCACTTGTCTGCCTTTGGATCTGTTGTTGTTAGGTGCCAAAGATCTGTAGCAGTTGCTTAATTGCTTAAAAATAGAAATAAACTTAATCTAACATTTAATCAATATTTTGAAACCGAATTACTAGGTAACTTTCTTTTATCCCTTAGTAGTTGTCTGAACTAAGTGGCCAACTGCTCAGGACTGATATAGTGTCATCAAGCAAGGTACTTCAGCTCTCTCTGAAGGTGCCTTTCTACGCCTTCCAGCACTGCTTTGATTACTGTTAAGATGGACTAGCTGATTGTGCTAAAAGCAGCTCTGTTGACTGCTTTGGGGACTATCTGATGCTTCTTGGTTACAAACAAAGCACCAATCAATACTTTGCAAGAAGATACCCTCCAGTCTCTGCTAGAAATACCATATCCATGATCTCTAAGAGCCTCCTTTTGTGGATGTTATAGCAGTGAGCATCATGTGGAGTGAAAATGTAAAGGAGAGGCCCTTATGATGCACATTAACCACACACACTATTTACTGAGCACCAGTATGTGCAGGGTGCCATCTGAAGCCAACATACTGTCTGATAGCTACCACATTGCCTCATGTCCTATAAGACAGGCCTTTAAGGCCTGATATGGAAGAGGAAGTTTTTTTTCTTTTTCCAGTCAGAAGCATTGAAAAATTTCTTACAGCTGTCCTGCTTCCTGATATTTAATTGTGAAACTATGAGTTCACACTATTTTCATTTCTGAAATTTATTTTGAGTAAGTTCCCATTTGGGGGAGAAACCTAGTGTAGGAATTGGTGTGAAAATCTGCCAATGGAGGAATCAACAAGTCAGTTGAAAGATTTGGACCTTCTTTAAGATAGGCTTGCCTTAAGTTAGCAGCTGGAAGGGCTCTCTTATAATTTAAAACAGCAAGTTTATAATCATTATTTGGGATAACGTGTTGAAAAGGCTCATCTGTGTTGACAAGTGGCGGAGAGCTAGAATAGTCTTTATTCTTCATTCTTGTTCTGTAGTTTCCACTTTCCCTTTTTACTGAATTGACTATCAACATCCTCAATATCCCTTTGCCATAAAGCTATTTCTTGAAAATTTTATTTAATTTCAATCATGGTATAGTTTTCATTTATACAGAATTCTTGCAAATTCTTATTTTATTGTGCTTTATTAATAACCCTTAGCATATTTCCAGTGCTCTTCTCTTCAACCCTTTTCCTACCATCTAATAGAGTCTATAAAGCTTTTTTCAAACCATGAATTAAACATGATAGGAGTTGACCATAGGAGTTAGCCTCATTACTGTAACTGTGTT